TTAATTAAACAAGTGGTTAGTAGCGTCACATTAGTGTTGTTTAACCCACTTAAAATTAATCCTCACTTCACATGTCATATTACCATATTCGTAAATTTCCTAATCCTTAGACAAGATTTTTAGTAAGTTGGGATATTTGGCAAGTGATTATAAATTTTAACGTCATATATATACTTTTCTATTCCATCATATTATTCCTTAGTTCATAATATAACAATTTATTGCGGTGGTTTGGTCGACATTTTTCAACCTAAAATTACCAATTGTTACAACAATTACATTTATTCTAAAACGAATAAAAATGAGAGTGATTAAAAATCAAATAAAAATACTGAAATCTAAGTAAAACACAAATACATTTTGAGAGAATATTGTTGCTAATCCATTATGATAAAATATATTTCTAATCCATTCTGAAAAAATATACTGCTAATCGATTCCGTAAGAATACAATTGCTACTTCTCACACGTTGACAATATGTATTCCCATACGATATGAAGAGCATGTTACATCCATTTTTGGTAGGCGTTAGTGGTGAGGAGCAATACATAATCTACAAAAATAAAACTAAATAAAGAAAATAAGAAGAAAAAACTTTGATGTTGATATATTCCAAAGACATACTCACTACCATTATAGGAATACTTTTCTTTGTATATTATATATTCAATTAGGATAGAAATGAATTAATATACTAAAAGAAAGATCTTCAGCAAAATATGTCATGCCAATGATGTAAGACTTCAAAACATCGTCTCATTGTTATTGAATTACTTTTAATATTATAAACATTTGATTCTTCAATCATACATTGAAAAACTAAATACGCATACAAAAGCAAAAGTTTAAAATCATACATAGAAATAATTAGTTTAGCCTAAGATAACAAGGGTGGCTAAAAGATCTTAGTTTAGCCTAAGATAACAAGGGTGGCTAAAAAATCACAACGATCGCATATACAAACGTTTATAATCATACAATGCATCTAATCATTATTAAGGAAAGTGAACTTAACCGAATTTGGTGTGATTTTTCCATCTTTTTAGTATTAAGTTGTTATATTTTTTATTATGATGTTTATGTGAAAACAACCGTTTATGTTTCAAATTTGGCTATTTAACCATTAAAATTTACAAAACAAAGAAATCGACACCATACAACAGGCTAACTCGAATATGAATAAGATGAAGGAATCAATCACATATGAATAAGATGAATGTATGTTGAATGAGAATTTCAAAAGACTAGAAAAAACAAAACAAAAATATGATATATAGTAGGAAAAACCTCCATTATTTTTCTTTCTGATGATCAAATCACCCATTCTTTATTCTATGCGAGGATTGATCCGTAGAAAGAACGAGGGATGTGATAAGGACGATGACGAAGACAGGAGGGAAAGAACGGGGATGCTCGACGTTTCTAAAGAAAAGAGAAGAACATAAATAGGGTTAAAGAGAAAAATAAGGCAACTATCCATAATTAAGGGGATTACGATTTTGTTTAATTAATTAATATTAGTAATTAAACTTAAGATTACTATTATGCCCCTAATTAGTCATACAAACTTTTTGTGTTTCTTTTAAAACGTCCTTTTTTGTAGTTTAAAGGCTTAAACTCACTTTTTATAGGTTAAAAACATCATTATCGAAAAAGTGAAGGGGTAGTTACCCCTCAATAGAACAACCATCTTTCACCGTATTTCACCCGATTTACATGCCTCCTCCCAAAACCTAGATCAATTAACACCACCACCGGTCATTACATGTTATTTAACAAGACTACCGCCTAAATCCACTGGCAACCACCACTATAGACTTCCTTTTTCCATGCTGAATCTCCCTTCTTATGCATCGTCTGCGCATTGCTCCACCCTCGCTTATTAGTACTGCTCAATCATCATCGCTGCCCTGATATCAAATTGATAACTATTGATAAGTTTAAATAATTTTTGATTAATGTAGACACTAGTGAGTATTGTACCGTATTTACTTGGTAGTATAACTTCCATGAGGATTAATGTACTTTTATTGTAATGGTGGCTTAAGATTTCCTACGGTTAATATTGTATTTGTACAATTGTAATTTTTTAAGTAATAAATGGTATCGATTGTAATGGTAGGGATTATGATATGTTGGGGGATCATATTTACTTCTATAGCCTTCTTATCCCAAATTAAGTATTATTTTTAGGGTGTTGATCCGTACACAACAGTTTTTATCCATACACAACAATTTATGTTTTATATGTTTGTATTGTACAACTCCATAAAACACAAATTGTTGTGCATGGCAAAAAATTATTGTGTAATGATCATTACCCTTATTTTTAGTTTATATCATAAAAGTTGGATGTAGTATGATTATTACTTATGAGAGTATAAGTATGTTTCTAATGTATATTTTCGTTTAATTATGTGATTAAAAATAAAACCAGCACTTTGCTTATTTTGTCCCCCATACACACATGAAGCAACACATGTACTTATGGTGTAATGGATAATCTAATTTATTTTGTGGGAATAATATCACTAAAGTCCCATGTTTTTGGTACTAAATTGAAAAATCCATGAATTTAATTTTTTGTTGGCTGTGGACACAATATTTTCATGGAATTATGGCAAAAGGGCAAAGTGTCGGTGTTAGTAGGTTACAAAGCAAAGACAAACGTTGGAGGTCAACTGTTAGCTAGGTTTTGTTCCATTCTTCTCTCCAGCGTCAATCCTACAAGATGGTAAGCTCCTCCAACACACACACACACACAAGGGTACAAAGAATGAGCTTTAAGGAATTGTTGGTCTGAAGATTTGAGATGCAAGTGTGATGAACCTGCGACATTCTTGATCTCTAAAATTGTCGATAATCCATGGAGGAAATTCAGGGGGTGTCAAAACTATCAGGTAATATCAAGTTTCCTACTTCTTTTTGTGGTATTGTTTAACCAGTATGAAGAAGTGGTTGTTGTGAAGGACTCCAAACAAAATGCAAATTTTTTATGGCTTGATCCACCACTGCCAAACACTTACTACAAGGAAACTATGTGGAAGTTCTATATGGATTTGGAGGAGGCTAAGAACAATAAAGCATTTGGAATGGAGATTTTGAAGCTTTGGAGGAGGCCAAGAACAACAAAGCAGTTCAAGTGGATATTTTAAACCCGTTGAAGGTGGTGCTACCTATGATGGTCATGCTTTTGGTGGTGGTGATTGTGATGGGGTTTATTGTTCACAATGTTGTGGTTAAAGCACTGTGAAGTTGTGGGCATTAGTTAGGTTCAGGTGGAATGGTAGTAGTAGTTTTGGTGTAAGGGTATTTTGGTCAAGTTAGACAGTAAGTTGATGCATGTGTTATGTATGGTAATTTTTTGGTGTTGTAAGAAATGAAAATGATAACAAATTATTATGTATTAATGATAACAATGTATTCTGTCTTAGTAATGGCAAGACCTTTAAGACATACTTATGTATAAAAATGGCCAAATCTTGAAAATTTAATAGCAACGTACTTAACAAACTAACCAAAACATGGAATGTAACAACATTATAGTGATCAAGGCACATATATTGATAACTTAACAATCATACCATGTAGTTTACAAAGCTTCCCAAATGTCAATGTTAGTTAACAGCCCAAAAAGGGGAATATACTTTACAAAGCTTCCCACAAACCACTACCATACCATGTAACCTAATTATAACCAAACTTCAAATTCTACCAAACATTATGGACAGGAGTTAGAAGTTTGTTACCAAAAGACAAGTGTACCAAAATTAGATGTTTACAAAAGGGAAACCTATTTACTAATGCCCATTCTACCCATTCAACCCTTAAACACAACTTCTTAATCTAAAACCCAAGGGGTTTTGGTAGAACCACCACCATCAGCATCTTGGACCATTTTCCTGAGCTTCAGTTTCCTAATTCTTTTAGAGGGAGTCCTCTTTCTCTACCAATGGATATTGTAAGAAGCAGGATCCAAGGGTACCACTCTTGATCCAACCTCTCTCCCTCTCTTCAACTTCTTCTTCCTCATCCTCTCTTTCTTCAACTTCTCCTTCCTCAGCCTCTCCTTCTTCAACTTCTCCTTCCCCAGCCTCTCTTTCTTCAATCTCTCTTTCCTCAACCTCTCTTTCTTTAATCTCTATTTCTTGAACATCTTTTTTCTGAACATCTCTTTCCTCAACTTCTCCATAAACCTATAATATGGCAGTCTAGTTAGTAAATCTATAATATGAAAGCCAAAAAATAATGTAACAACAAATACCTCTTTCATAGTAGCCACTGCATTAGCATGTGTATATCCAGATTGTAGCAACTCCTTTAAAGTAAGTCTTTCATTCACCTTCACCTCATTCCCATTCTCTTGTTCCTAAACATCCTTCTTTGCTTGACTCATAGGTTTCTTACCATTAGGTGTATGGGTGAAAATATCATCAAAAGCTTCATCACAGCTTAGGGACACATCCTCCTTTGCTTGACTAATAGGTTGCTTACCATTAGGTGTTTTCTTTGCTGTTTTGTTCCTTGATCTAGAAACCTTAATTTTCCCTCCTCTCCTTGCCATCATCTTAGTCCTTTTCATAGGAGTAACATCAGGATCATCATCTTGATCACCAGATTTAGAAATAGGAGGAGCACCATCTTGATCACCAGATTCTAAAATAGGAGGAGCACCATCCCTTCTTGGTATAGCAAATTGGAAGGAATTGGTAAAAGATAGGTTGGTCTCCCCTATCTTTCCTAGATATTCCAATCTTCCTTTTTGGGACAGGGGCTTAGGTACCTCATCATTTGTGCATGTAATTTTATTATGCCCAAGCTGTTGGCACTTTCCACACCTCACAATCCTAGGAACATTTAACATTTGTGAGGGGTATTTGGCATCTTATGATTTAGATGCATACTTCACTCTCTTTAGTTTAGGTCTTCCAGGCATCCTTCTAATTGGGGGTGGTAATGGTGTGATAAACTCAGTCCTTGGCCACAAGTTGCTTCCACCTATAGGTTGTATGTTCTGCATATATGTTGCAACATATTTATCCTTATGGAACCAAGAAGAAAGGAACTGAATTAAATCTTTGTGGATATAGTAGATTGCAGCTTGACTATGAACACATGGTATGCGAGATAACATTCACAAGCTGTAGGTGCAAGTGTGAGTAGCTAAATCAACCTTGTATCCATTATAGCCATACCTTGTCTCAAACACATCACCTCCACTTGGCACCATTGTCCACAACCTACACACAAATCAAACAAATTACACACATAAACAATAAATACATAATACATTTAGATACATGCCCATAAAAACTAACATTACCTCATATCTTTCCCAAATTCATCAATCTTCAATTGTATGTTAGGCCCATAATTACCCCTCCATTTGGATACCTCTTGACCTTGATGATAAAACCTTTTCATAAGGAGAATCCTTATTTCCTCAAGCATTGTAAGTAGAGGCTTCTTCCTTATTTCTTTGATCATGCCATTGAAA